TGGTAAATTATGCAGAACAATAACAAACTGTGTATATTTTGGCTCTGAAATAGACAATCATCTATCAATGATTCTCTTTTAATCATTTTCCAAAAAAGACAAGGATATTAAAAATAATAAGATCAAAAACATGGAGGCAGGTAAAGTTTTCCAGGTGAATGAACTCTTCAATCTGCCCAATACAATACAGGAAGGATTCATTATTTATCCATTCAGCCTCCTTATTTAGGTCTGAGATAGCTCATTTATTGTTTTATGAGGATATATTCTCATAATGGAGCCTACATCTGAGTGCAGTCTTGCTTGTGAGAGACACTGAAGCCAGATCAAGGTCATCAGAAGTGATAAAGAGGTACTTTCCTATATAAATAGGAAGGAGAGTCTTCAGTGGGCTTCAATTGACCTGCCATAGGACAACCCCCTCCCCTCATTCAGCCATAAGATTCTGTCTCGATGCTCATTTGCTGAAACTGTTGGAGAGAACTGAGACTTGACCAGGAAAGGGGGGGAGGGGCTGTTGACCTTCCATAGGGTTGAAAGTCCCACTGGAAAAAAATGTTATGAACAGAATCTGAGTTGTATTTGATCATTTTGATTGTTTGTGCTATGTTTTTATTCTGCTTTTAGAATTTTAGAATATTTTAATGATACTTGTAAACCATTTTAGGACCTTTAATGAAAAAGTATCACAGTTCTCCAGTCCCTATGGTCTTTTGCTCCAAAACAGAGTGCAATTCACCAGCCGTTTCCAGCAGAAACAGAACTGATGATTCCATACAAGGTGTGAATTCTGCTGGAGAATGATAATAAGAATGCTGGAGAGCTATACCTATTACTTCTGCAATGCCTAGCAGACCCAAAGACTTTGCATAGTGGAATGGAAGGGTGAGGGATTTTGGCAAGTGCGAAAGGAAGGTCAGATTGCTGGTGTTTTGTTTTCACTCTGCTTTCCTTTCTTGTTTCTCACTTGTACTCTTTTCCCCCCAATTCCACTGCACAAGGTCTCCAGTGAGATTCCACAGGTCTATTAGTAAAGGACTATTTTGGGGACAGTGGTTTTCCAAAAGGCATGCATTCCTCCTATCTCCAGCACATCATTGGGCTCTGAGGAAGAGCCCAACATTTTATAAACTGGATATATAGAAGTGGGGGGAAATTCTGTTGTATTATTAAGGATGAAAACAATTGTTTGTATTGCTTTAAGTATTGGTTTGGCCTCAAATAGGGCTGGTAAATGTGGGCAGAAGATCATCTAATCTACAGAAGTCTTGTGCAGAGAAGGGCCTCTCAGAAGCTTGGGACTTTTTAAATTTTCTCCTCCAAGATCAAACAGTTCTTTGATTTTAGTAAGGGAGAACAGAATATGGATGTCCCACCTTCAGATCTCAAAGAGTTAACTACACATACGTTCTTTTCTTCTCTAATGTTAGACCTCTGTTGTTAGGATAGAAAAAGTGGGACCTATTGCTGTGGTCTTCACATCACTTTGGTGTGATTCTAAAAGGTTTACAAAAGTCATAGCAATCCAAAACATAAGAACATAATGACAAAGAAATATTGCCCAGAATTGCCTTTTTTTTTTGTTTGTTTCATTCATCACAGCCAGTGTTCAAAACGTCTGTAACACACATCTCCTTGAAGCTAGAACTTTCCTATGGAGACTTCCTCCTACCAAAAAAGTATTTATGAACATACACACATATATTACTCTGAAAATATTGGTCTTTGTTTCAAAATTCATTCATTTTCCTTTAATATTCTTAAGAATATTTTATCCTTGCAGGAGCTGCAAAACTCACACTAAATTTTGGTTGGCAGTATCAGGTTTGAAGAAATCTGCCTGATGTCCTTCTTCATCCATTCCAAAGGGCCCCCAAGATACAGTTCAACAGTCAACTTGCCTAACTTGTTTTTTGTTTTTCCCTGTTGATTCTACATTCTTTGGGGCCTTAGACTTCATGGCTGCTTTCTCCCAAATCTATTCAAGAGGTAGACTCAAAAGCCCAGCAAGCAATAAGATTGTATCAAAATTGAACAACTTATTGAGTGGCTTATGGTTCTGTCTCTCTCTTACCCCCCCCCCCCATCCCTCGCATCCCATCCCTCCCTCCCTCCCTTCCTTCTCCTCCTCCTCCTCCTCCTCCAAATATGGTCTGTGCAATCAAGCATCATTTCTCTGGCCTCAGCTCTCTATTCTGAGGCCTTTAACACACCTTTGTCAATAAACCTGGCAATGGGAGCACATTTGTGATGAATTGCCTCCAAAGTGACAGCATGGGGCCAATCACTCAATCTTGTCTATGTGATGATAACTACCAAGGAATATCTGAAGAGCTACTTAGAAAGCGCTATTTGAATTCTGATGCTAATGAAATAATCAGACCTGTTTTCTGGCAAGATACATGTGCTGCCTGTATATATCAAATACACTGGCATGTGTGGGTGTGGATATGGATATTGCACATACCTATATCCATAGTAACAAAAGCCCTGTCTCTAAAATATGCTATTTGTATATACAGAACATTTTGCAGTGAATATTTTTATGTTGCTCTGTTTCTTTTTACCTTTGAGATTCATGGCTTCTTTATATATAGATAAAATTACATCTCTCTACTTTCCCTAAGCAGTTTAATCAGCTTTATTCTAGCTTGGGCCATTAGTCCATCTAATTCAGTTCTAAGCATCCTGATTATATCCTTGGGCAGATCTCTCCCCTCCCCCCCATTAGTGATCTCTTCCAACTAAAAGACTTTCTGCAAAAAAAACATATTTGGTACCAATGAGCTGATTGTTCCTCCTCCCCTCCTACATTACTCTGTTGTGGAATTCTCCCCTTTTCAGGTGCTAAATCTCGTAGAGAAAGAAACTCCGATTTTTGGTAAAACTAGCCTCCCTACATTTTCCTGGTCTGTTGTAATCTTCTTGTTCCATGTTTTATAACTTTTAAAGTAGCTTGCACTTGTGACAGTTGCAGCAACCTGCAGTTACAGGATTACCATTTACAATTTTCTCAACTGGCTTCTGACAAAAAAAAGACAAGGGGAAAGTTGGCAGAGAAGGTTGTAAGTTGTGGTCACATGTTGTCTTGCTTAACAATCCCACCAACTAGCAACACACTTTCTGGTTCCAATTATAGTTATAAGCTCAGGATTCCCTGTATATTTTAACCTTCCTTTGCAAAGTTACATTGTGATTCTCTTGTTTCTATAGTCTATCCTGTCTAATCATCAAAATGATAAATAATGTTTATTTCTTTTCTTTTTTAATGTAAAAAGCCCAAAAGGGGTTTCCAGTCACCAAGCAGATACTGTCTTTTCTCTAATCAAATGAGTCAGTCTAGCAATTTCAGCAAGTTGTTATCTCACCAACCATTCATTCATTATAAGTATTGCTATTTTTTTTCAACTTTGTACATAGAATAATTGCCTTATGCAATTATCCTATATAAAAACAGTGTTCTGTGGCTCTTTTTTGTTTATCCATCAGAACAAGGAAAAAAATTGCTTTCAATTAAATGCTAATCTTTAAAATCCTTTGAATCAGTGTGTGTATTTGAATCCAAATTTTTCTAGCTCTTTTACACATCCACCAAGCATGATAAAAATAATCCTTCTTGCTCATATTTTTAATCTAATTTTGAAGTACCTTTCTTTATACTTTCTGCATATTTTTTCTGATATAAAATGTGAATGGTATATCATTTTATAAAAAAAATCTTAAGATTATAACAATGCAAATTTCAATCATTTTAATCACTATTTTTCCATTGTTCCACGTGCATATTGTAACTGATTTTAACCCACTTTAGTGTACATTCTTTCACTTGTTCTTCTGTATCAAATTTCAATAAAAGATTAAATATTTTAGTAATCACACGTTCATCATTTGTACACAATTCCATTTCAAATACTGTCTTACATTCTTCAATACCATGGACAGTATTTTTTGGGAAAAAAAATACTATTTATTTTTTAAGTTTCAACAGCTGATTCCAACAGCTGATTGAAAAGGGAGCCTTTGAATAATAATAGCTTTACAGAATTTGCTCCCAGCACTCTTCTTTGGCCAACTTCACTGGTGGCAGAACACCAATCACACTGGAGATGCGTGTGACTGGTACATGAGGATTTACAGGGATGGTCCTCCTTCTCTGCATGGTGAGTAGAAGCCTTATTTCAGCCTTATTTAATTGATTTTGCCTTATTCATTTCATATTTATTTGCCTTATTCAACCTTGTTTAATTGGTTTTTGCCTAATCCACTTTTAAACATCCTGTTAAAATACTCTAAATTAGAGTTAATTCCATCCATTAATTCATTCATCCATCCACTCATTCATGATGTAGCTTTAATGGAAGTGGATCCAAGCAGAAATGTATAGGTTAGCTTTCCTGCATAAGAATCAACATGTAACATTTGTTGACTTCTTTTTTCTATAATAAGCATCTTTATTTGCTAACAGAGAATAACTGCCCAAAATAAAGAAGCACCATTGTGGTCCTTGGTCCCAAATAGATAGGCGAAGGTCAAATTGCAAGAAAGCTTAACTTTGTGGCAAGGTTAATCTAGCCCGAGAACAAAAAGCTCTTTAAGAGCATCTCTAAATATCATGTTACATTTATTACCAGTAATATTTATTCTTATTAAATGTTGGTCCATTTGTCCTTTTAACTGCATAACTGTTTCCAGAGTACTAAAAGCTAATTGGTGCTATTACGATCTTTCCTCCCCTATCTACTTCGAAGTTTAGAACCAAGTGGTGACATTTTGGTGTATATCATTTTTAAAAATCTTTTTCAAAAAACAAGATTTGTATTTTGAAATGTGGCAGGATTCTGTTTTCACTGCTACAAGTCATCCTTTTTAATAATAATAATAACAACAACAACAACAACAACAACTTTATTGTCACTTTGAATGTACACCTATTGGCATATATAAAAATAAAATTTCAGTTACAGTTCTCAAAGGGTCATCACCTCCGATATACACTCCTTGTTCATGGCCAGTTCAAGTTTCAGAATGTCAATTTTAGTCTCTAGGGAAACAGAGCCCCATGTGGATTAGCCCTCAAATTAACCTGTATTCCTGCAGGACAACCTCACCTCCTTTCCTTTTTCTGATCCTGTCTCTTCCACCTTTTCCTTAAAGGGGTCTCACTCCTTTTTTGCTCCTGGAGCACGCTGCCGCCATCTCCAACTCTTCCACACAAAAGGATGGCCTGGCCAAAATAATACTTCAAATTATTACAAGCCATTGTAAGAGATTTCAGCACACTTCAATTGTTCTGCTGATGGGAAACCTATTACAGAAATATTTCTCAATACACGAAGAACCAGTTTAATTTTCTGTATGTTGGTAAAGGAGCTGGTGAGTGAGCAGAGCATGAAGTTGCCCAATTAAATTGATTGGCAGTAGTTTCAAGACACCTGAAATGGACTCCATCACCACTGACACAATTGCACAAGGAAGTACATTTATAGACGCTCTCATCCAAGCTGTATTTATGGCCACTCCTTCCATAAACACTAAGGAAATATTTCAAAAGACTGTAAACATTTGCCTCTGAAGAAAGGATTGACATAATTTCCCAAACAAGATTCCTAAGCAAATTTTACTATTATAAATGGGATAAGGGCACAATTATTTTATAATGTATTGCCTAAAGTCTTGGAAGAAGGCAGTATATAAAAGTTTGTAATAAGCCAATAATAAAACATCATAATTTGTTATCTAATGATCAGAAAGCAGAAAATGATAATAAATCTAGAGAGAATAAACTGGAACACAGTATGATGGATTCAGTCAGCTGTACTGTGAAGTATCCAATTTCTTGATTTGGAAGCAGCATTTTAAACATCTTCTTAAATTAAGTGGTGTTAAGGGCAAGCATTTAAGTAATCAGATGTACTCATGGAAGCATATTATTTAAGATGCTTAGGCAAAAGAGGACAGTGATGAGTGCTGAAAGGATATTATTGGATCTTGATCATACAGGATGGGCAGGCACTGTACCATGAAGGGCTTTAGGGATAATAATGAGCACTTAAATTGCCCTGGAAAGCTACTAGTGCAGCTTATGAAGTAGAGATGTTACCTGAACATAGCATGTTATGCCCATACCTGCCCAGGCCTTCATAATCTAGACCAGTTGCAGACACCAAGACCTCAGCTGAGTCATCCATCAGATCCACTCAAACCTTCCAGTGCCCATTTGCCATGTGGGGTGAACTCATTTAATAGGAGATAGCATCAGCAAGCTGAAAAGCAAAACCCTGGCAAAAGAATGATGAGAATATAATTCACTTTCAAATCTTGTTACAGCTGTTTGCAGACAAAATGCAAATCTCATGTATGACCTCTGATGTATGGTCAGGGTCTTAATGATTGAGTCAGGTTTACGGTTGCTATTGTTATTATAAACTCATGAGCTGCCTTAGACAAGTTGAATTGCCTCTAACTATAAGCCTTGAACACACCACTACTAATATGATGATGGAATCTAGCAGTTCAGGCAAGAATCTCACTATGCAGCAGGAAGCATGATAGAGCAGCAAAAAAACATAACTACTCCCTAAAGCCCAGCCAAAGGATGTCTGTAAAGCAGAGTTTTTGAAACATACCAATCTCAGCCTAACCCAGGTGATAATTGCCATGCCCCCTCCATCTTGCATGGACTCATATCTGGTGCAAAACTTGAAAGCCAGGTTCAAGTCTCTAAAAGGGGAACTCACCCACTCTGGGCCTACCCAAGTCTCAGTTATATATGCCACTCAAATCATGGATGACAATAGTCTTATTACATATCATGTCATTCTGTAAGCTGGAGCCCTAGACCACCAATCATCTTTTTCCTATCTTCTTTTTCCTTTCCTTTCCTTTCCTTTCCTTTCCTTTCCTTTCCTTTCCTTTTTTCTTTTCCTTTACTCTTCCAGCAATGTTTCTTTTCTCTACTTTCATCTTCTTCCTGTTCATCCTAATATTCTTCACTGTTTCCTTTTCCTCTTTCTCTTCAAATTTGCTTTTTCTCCTCTTCTTTTGACATTTTCTTCCTCAATCTGTTCTTTTTGATCTACATATTCTTTATCCTGCTCTTCTTTCTCTTTTCCCATCCCATTTTATATTCTTTCATTCTATTCCTTTATATTCTTTTTCAACCCCTACTTCTTTCAATGGTTTTTGCTCTTTTTCTTTTTTCTCTCTTGTCTTGTGCTTGATCATTTGTTTTGCTTGCCTAAGTGATGTTATAAAAACAATAAAATTGTGTAATTACATTACATCTAACATCATCCCATTTGCTGTGAATGGGATTGCCTAGGTGGATATAAAATTTGCAGCATTTAAAAGGACAATTAATCAGAGGCAATTTTAAAAAAACGAGGTACAAAGCAGAGGCAGGAAAGAGTATACAGTTTTCATTTATTTTTTTAATTTATTTAGTCCATCTATATTTTGCCCATCTAACTCTACAAAGTGACTCTGAATGGCTACCAGACAACATTACTTTCAGAAGAACAAACTTCTGCATCTCCATTTATTGCCTTTTTGGCTTCATAATTAATACTAATAAATATTTGCTTTCATCATGGAGAGCCAGTGTGTTAGTGGTGTTCCAGTGTGCGTATCGCAAAAAACTGAGATCAGTCCCTGAGTAATTTGTAATGTGATAGAAGTAGCCAACATTAATTATTAATTAAGAATAATTTTGATGATTTGTTTGTTATGCCACTTAGTTTTGAGGCAAAAGCAGGACTGCTGTTTCCATTTGAGAATTAAGAGAGTTAAATTAAGCAAGGAAATATTCTCTTTATTGGTGTTTTGATTAGAGTATTAAAAGCTCCACAACAGAACTCACTTCATTAGTGTATGCTAATCCAAATACCTTTGTGGGGGAGAAAAAACACTGATAAGGAGACTTGGCATTTAGAAAGTGCTCTCAAGTCAGTGGTGTTGTCCCTAGCAAGATTTGGGACAGTGGTCCAGAGCTCCCATTAGCTGATAGAAGAGTCCTGGGATACAACAGTACTGGCTTAGCACATTTTAAAGTAACATAACTAGTTCATTCCACAGTACTGCCTAAAGAACGTTGGGGCATAAATCCATTATGTCCACAGTTTAAAATTATTTAATTGCCCCCCTGTTTAAAGGAGCAGTAAACACTTTGGCCAACAGCAAAAAAGTGTGGGAGTTGTCATCTAAAACAAGTGGAGGGTACCTGACTGTTAAATCTAATTTACTTTGTTCATTGTACTGCACATTCACAAAGTGTGAAACTTGTACAGTGTGAATTTTAATTGACTTGCAAAGGACTATTATGTTCTATATATATAGATTTTCTCAGTGCTCATTGGGAATTGTAGTATAGAGTAAAAGAGTAGCATTCTAGCAGTCTCCATATTTTCTACACAAAGAAAAAAAACAACTCTGGAAATAGGCAAAGCATTGTTTTGTTAACAAGGCTCAAACCAAACAGGCATCAGAATTTCTCCTATTTAACTTAATCAAGTCTACTAAGATTTTCAAGCCAAAGAATCTAGGTACCACTCTGTGAAAACATTCTAGTCAAGTTCAACAATCAATGATGACTTCATTTCAGAAGGAGAAAATTTCAGAAATCAACTTCCCAGCATGCAATAACCATGGTTTTCTGCCTAACTGCACCATTGTGTGCACATGTGTACTGAAACAACTAACTGAATTCAATAAGACTTATTGCTAGTGAGTACTGGTCTGTTCCCTTAACCAGGTAGAGTAATAAATTTCAGGCAACAAGTGTACATTCACAACTAGTGGACAGAATAGGACTATTTTTTTAAAAAAATATATATGCAAGTTAATACTTTAAAATATGTCAAGGTTGTTTTAGAAATATGTCAGAAATCTGACAGAAGGTAATCTGAGATATTTTGTTGCCTGTCTAAGCCTTTTCATTCTACATGCAGAAGTTGAAGTCTTTCTTCAATGCCAATGGATAGCCTAGAATACTCTATAACATCTGAAGACAGCAGGGTAATTTAGATGATATAGAGCAGACATTTTTAAGAAGATAAAAACAGCCAGTGGATTTAGGAAGAAGTACTATAAGGAAGGAATATAACTGCTACTTTTCAATTCATTCTTGCTAATGGTAGGACTGGTCTCAGCAAGCCAGAATACAGTTGCTTTTGTGTCAGTAAATTACTCTGTAATTCCATCTTTCATTCAGGAGAATTTATGTCCATCTTTGAACAGGAACCTCTTTTTCACATGCTCTTACTATAATGTAACACTCTCAAAAGTATTAAGAAAATATGGCACCATCATCACATTGCTTTGCACTTTGCTTGATTGAGGGGTGACGAAGACAAATCTAGCCAACTTGTTTCCAATCTGCCTAAGGATTGCCTTCCCAGTCTAAGCAACTTTTTGGTCATTGAAGCCAAACAGACTGTTTCAGTTTAGTTTACCTGTTCTTAGGACAGAGTTTTCTTTCTGTTTCAGAGCACAAAATTTAGTTCAGATATTCATACCTGGCTTTGTAAGCCATGGTTTATGAATATAAAACATATCTCAGCTATAAAACTCCAGATAACTGCAAGATGGCAGGAAAGAGGTGCAAAGGGCTTTACCTCCATCTATTGGTTGCTGGAAGACAATGGAAAGAATTTTTTTTACTGCAGCTCTTCAGTCAGATATATGAAACAGGAAAGATACCAAATGATTGGCTAAAATCAACCTTTGTGACAATCCCCCCAAAAATAAATGCAAAGAAGTGTACCGAATACAGAACAATAAGCTTAATGAGTCATGCTCTGAAAATATTTCTGAGAATAATTCACAGAAGAATATACAACAAAATTGAAAAACGTCTAGGTAACACACAATTTGGTTTCAGAAACCATCTTGGTACACAAGATGCGCTGTTCAGCATTCAGGTTCTTGTACAGCATTGTAGAGATGTCAATCACAGTGTTTATATGTGCTTCATTGATTTCGAAAAAACTTTCGATAAAATAAAACACAGCAAACTATTAGAAATCCTGAAACAAGGGGGACTAGATGACAAAGACATCCAAATAATAAAGAATCTTTATTGGCATCAGGTAGCAAATGTGAGACTCGGCCAAAAATACTCAGCTGATGCAGAAATAAGAAGAGGGGTCAGACAGGGATGTATTCTGTCTCCACTGTTGTTCAATATCTACTCTGAGTCAATCTTCAACGAGACATTGGAGAACATCAATGCAGGCATCAAAGTAAACAGTGTTTGGATCAACAACTTAAGATATGCTGACGATACAGTTCTGCTTGCCAGTAAGCATGAAGACCTTCAGCTCCTCATCAACAGAGTCACAGAAATATCTGAAAACTACGGCTTGAAGCTTAACACCTCAAAAACCAAGATCACGGTCGTCAGCAAATAACCCGTTAATTTACCACCAATAAATTCAGAAGGAATACCACTAGAAAAAGTTGAAAGGATCATGCATCTCGATTCTAATTTACATGAAAGCTGGGACATGATCGTTGAAGTAAAGACAAGGATAGAAAAAGCCCGAACAGCATTCTTCAAAATGAAAAAGGTCTTCTGCAGTCACGACATAAGCCTAAGACTGAAAACCAGGCTTGTCAGATGCTATATTTTTTCTATCCTGCTCTATGGAGTAGAGAGTTGGTCTCTGACAGAAGGCCACCTGAAGAGACTAGAAGCATTTGAAATGTGGATTTACAGGCGGCTGTTATGTATAAGCTGGGTTGACAAGATCAGAAATGAGGAGGTGATAAGCCGCCTGGGAAAGCCAAGGGAAATCATCAAAACAATTAAAAAACGAAAATTAGAATATTTCAGACATGTGATGCAACACCCAGAAAAATACGGCATACTCCATTTAATACTCCAGGGAAAGATTGAAGGCAAACAAGGTCCAGGCAGAAGAAGAACACCGTGGCTTCAAAATCTAAGGGATTGGTTTGGATAAAACTCAGCAGCACTTTTTCGTGCGGCTGCTGATAAAAACAGGATTGCCAACATGATCACCAACGTCCAATAATGGATATGGCACAAGAAGAAGAAGAAGTGGTTGTCTGAAATTTTGCACTCCATCTACCCTTCTCTTGTTTGTTTTAAATTTGAGGGCATATCAACTGGAGAAGTCAAGTAGGCTGCTGATTAACTGAATAGAATAACACTGGGAGAAAAGAAAAGCCAGGAAAGTATATGTTTACATGGCTGGGCCAGCTCATATCATTTGCCTCTGATCTTTCTGGAACCTACTACAGAAATTAACAGGAGCAAATAAACAGGCTGTGTTGAAGCCTGAAATTTTTATTCTCATCCTATTACTTGATATTTACCAAAGCAACTACACATGTAAATAGAATTCATATAGATCCTAGATTCTAAACAAGTTTAAATAGATAAGCTCAAAAATGTTTCATAACCAGCCCTCCTTTCTCTTTACAGGCCCTGAAATGCTTTTGGAAAGCATCATGAGGATCTCCTGAATTAAAGTAACTTGAAACAGGTAATAAATGCCCACAATTGTGCTTATCTTAGATTAAATTAAAAATGATTTAACCCAAGGAAAAGAAGCTTTCCACTCCCAACAATCTCCTATTGTTTATCTTGATTTTTTTTTCTTACCTTGCATTGCTGTTGACTTCCATGTAAATCCCATAGATCTTCACTTGGATAGGAATGCTCATTCAAATGTATATTTAATTTCCATGCAGACAAATTTTAAGGATAAATTTTAAAAGATAGCTACCTGAAAAAGAAAAAAAAACAGATGCTTTAAAAATAAATAAATAAATAAATCATTGCAGAAGTGATGAGAATGTATGCATGGTTTTTCATGACCCCCTTTCACAGCTGTTGCCACCATCAGGCTTTCTACTTGTAATTGTACACCAGAGGCCAGTAGATAGGAGACCAAAAGGCATGTGTTTCTTTTCTCATAGGTTCCTTCACGATTAAGTCTCATAAATCCATTAAAAAAAGATCCTAGGCAAATGTGCTCTGAATATTAAAGCCCTTTGTTCTGCAACTGGACAAGTCTTCCAAATAAAGGGGAGGCAAACCAATCCCCAACTTGAGTTTATGCATACAAACAATCAATAAAAACTTGAAAGTCCTTTGAATAAATTACAGCTATTGAAAAACAGCTGCACTCCTGTCAAGGACACCTGCATTTTGCTCCCTGATCATAGTTCCTTTGACTAGTGATTTATAGGTGCACAAGGGGGACATTGGTGCTTCCTGCAACTAAATAATACATTCACAGGTCAGAAGACTGATAATCCAACATTTGCTCTCGCAGATCCAAACATGCTTGAAGGAGAAGAGCAATGTCTTTTCATTAACTACATGCTGATGCATAAAACTTTTGTACCCACAGTTTTGATAGAATTATTGTGGTTATAAACAAAAGTAGAAGCTCATGCTGCTTGACAGTAGTTCTGAAGAATCACAACACTTTCCAAATTCAAAAGAATCTCTAGAGTTAAATTTCTCTGTGGAAGAAATATTTTAGATGTTTAGATGTCTGAGGAAAGTGACACAATAGTGAAAACTGAACAAATGGAACCCATAAGAAAATGTTGCAGTTGTATTAGGTTATAAATATACCAGTGGCTACTCTGTACTAAGTAAGCCCAGATCATAAATACAAGATAATGGAACTTTTCATAGGGGACATTATGAGTGGGGTAAAGCTTTAAACCATGCATGTCTGAAGCTTGACTAATGTACTACATAACAAATATTGAGCAAAAATATGCCCTCTTCCCAACATTTGAAAGTGAAAAAGCCTGACCATTTGTGTGATGTTTTCAATTATTTGGAAGATGAGCAAATGCAAAGAATAGGGGACGCAACTCACTGACCCCTCCCCCTTCATATTCCTGCAAGGGATAGTTTCCATGTTTATTTCTCAAGAGTGTCTACAATGGTATTGCATCAAGTCAGTATCTTCTGAATGCCTTGTGGGATTATCAAAGCTCTCAACAAATATAAGCATTAAGTAAGGCCAGAATTGCCTAATTTCATAGGAAATGGTCATGGGAGATTGTTGCTGAATGCTTCTCCATCTATTATTTTACTTTCCTACAGTTTCCTTTTCTTTTCCATTCCTTTTTTTTTCCCGAACTGGGGCCATTTCTAGAAAAAAAATAAAAGATTTTTGGGAGAAAGAAAAAGAAACATTTCTTCAATTTGTTTCATTTATAGTTTGCACCCCACAGCATTTAGTTGAAAAATGCATCCCATTTTGTAGCAGCTGACATACTTAAAACAATGTCGATGTCCATTTGTTTCTGTCTACATATGACCGTAGTTGTGTCATAAAAGTATTAGCTAATTTCAGCCATTGTCTTACATTCTTTACAAATGGAAAGAGAAAAGAGGAGTAAAAAGAGAAAGGCACAGCTTAAAAAACATCTAGCACAGTGATGGTGAACATTTTAGAGACCGAGTGCCCAAAACCCACCCTGCCCCTGCCCTGCCCACCACCTGTGCCCTGCCTGCCCGCAGGGCCACCCACTGCCTCCATGGCCCACCGCAGATCACCCAGGTGGCCAGGCAGAACCATGGTGGCCACACCCTCCACCCACACCCTGAAGCAGCATCTGCGCATGATGGAGCACGAGGGCGGAGTCTTGTCCCCGCTACCCAGATGCCATGTCCTTGGCTGTGCTACTCTGCATGGGCCGTGCCCGGGAGTGACTCTCCTCCAGGGGGGCTGCTGGTGAGGAGAGGGCCATGGGGGGAGGCAGGGCTGGGGCGACAGCGTGCATGCCCACAGAGAGGGCTCTGAGTGCCGCCTCTGGCACGCATACCATAGGTTTGCCACCACTGATCTAGCAGATGCAACTGGTATTATAGTAGAGTTACAATATGGCTCAGTAAATAAGAATCACAAGTCCAGTGTTTACAGTTTTTATTAGTTTATAATATAAAATACAAAAATACAAAAGCAAATAGTAGGAAAAAAAGAGAGGGAAAGGGGAAAAGGAGAAGTGTAGAAAATAAGGGGAGGGGGAAAGGGTGTTGACATTTGACTCCCTCTAGCGCAGTAGAATAAAACAGTAACATCAAACCTCAACTTTTTACTTTAGCATAATATTATAAACTAGCCATTTCTATAACAACAAATCTATCTAATCAGTAAAACCCAAAATCAAAGTTTCATTTTTTTTCCACTTCAAGCACAAAGTCTAGAAGAGGTTTCCAAGTAGAAACAAAAGTACTTATCTATTTTTTTTTTCTTTGATCAAAGCAGTCACTTTAGCTATCTCTGCTAACTCCATCAACTTTTACAGCCATTTGTCCATTGTGGGGATCAAAATAAGAATCACAAGTTCTAGGTAGGAAGGTTGTTTTTGAATGTCAGAAGGCTTGGCTGCCCTTCCAAAATACAGTGTATGAGTTAAATCAAACAAGAAAGAATTCTAGAATTTTTGCAATTGATATCACAAGATCTTCTAGGGACACAAGTTGCTCTTAGTTTTATTTTTTTTATTGATTAAATTTTTAATAAATTGATTGATGAAAGACCACTAGATCAGCACTTTCAACAAAAGGGAAAATTGCAGAAATAAGTATTTCAGAATATTTGAAAGTACACTCCTAGCAATGAATTTGGAGAAATAAGGACATAAAAGTGCTAATCAACAAGTGACGATTGTTCAGGGATTATTCAGATTGCTTGGAAAGTACGGTTATTAAAATCTGTTTCTCATTACTTCATAAAGCTATTATGAAGGAAGGCATACAAGAGATCACATCTGCTCTTATCCTAAGCTACTGGAATGATGGCCCATTTCTTTTCCCTTTGCTTTCCCAATACAAAAGTGGTAAAGAAGAAATTGTACAAGTATTCCTTCATGTAATTTGCTTGCCTACAGCCATCTGCTCTCTTTGGCACCAAGTGCTTTCTTGAAATCCCCTGTATAAATGTGCCCTCAGTCAGGAAACTGATTCAGATGAGAACCAATTAACACTTCCACCTCCCCAAGCACATGCCAACATATATGCAAGTGCACGTCCTCCTTTTGTTTCTATTTCAAAAATGTATTTTTATTTCAGAAACAAGTATGTGTTGTGGAATTTCTTTGAATACGATCGCACTGGGCAAATACAACTAATAGATATGTAAATTTCTTTGTGAATAACCATCAGAAACTAAATCTGGAATTGTTGAGGCTGAAAATCAAGGAACCCATGGGTAGCGGCTGTATCACTTTTTTTCTTCATGTCCTTCATCAGTTATCAAGGACATTAAAGGAGCTCCATCTGACTTTGTTCTTTATTACTCATCCAACTGAAAACAGACCAATGGTTTAGTTTAAGATGAACTGGGCAAAATCATAATAATCTATAGTCATACTTCTAATTTTCATTTTCTGATATTACTTTTTATAACTAAATAGATAAAAATATAGACTAATTAAAGCAGATGAATTCAGATGGAAAGTAAGGAAAATTTTGAAATGTCCATCTGCTTATTATTTTGTATAAGACAATGGTTGTGACAAAGGAAGAGGAATACGCCTACTTTTCATGAAAGATGCCTTCTTTCCTTTGTTAAATTTAGCTTACCATAAAACACAAGACAAAATTATACAATTTTTTGTATAAAAATACAAAAACTCTTCAAACCAAAAATATCTAAAATACCTAAACCCATAATTAAGTGGTGTCATGCCCCAAACATCCCCAGAAGAATTCTATGTTTAATGCTTTCTGAAAGGCAGAAGTTAAGAAACCCTGAACAGGAGACCATTCCAGAAGGCTAACCCTGTGATGGAAAAATATTCTAGGTTTTGACCTTCTTGATCTCCCAAAATGGGGAAGGATCATCTGTTGACTTCCATAGAGAGATGTGATGTTGCAAAGAATTTGGGGGCCAGTACTCCTCCCCCAATACAGTTGTAATATGATTCCACCAATTACTGCTAATGAGGATCCAGATCACTAGATTTTGTACCAACTAAAGCTTTCAGATGCTCTTTAAGGCAATCTCATGTAAAGTGTCCCATATCGTAATGTAAGCAGGTTGTGATGAGGGCATGAGCCACTGAAGCAAGGTTCTTATGATCCAAGTACGATTACAGTTAAAGCACCAGGAAGAACTGGGACTTTTGTCTGTTGATTCAGCAGGAGCTACTGTATGTGTCCAGGAATACTCCAAGTACAGATCTGATCCCTTAGGGCTAGAGCACCCTTATCCAGAGTCATCACTGGCAGAGAACCCTGATATACAAACAATGGCTCCATCTTGCTGGGTTCAATTTCAGCCTATTTTTTCTCATCCAGAACCTCACAACCTCCAGGACAAGATTTCCACATCATCTCTAGAGAAATGGAGGTAGCTAAGAACATCCCAGATAGCATCCTATTTACTTCCTCAGAGGTTACAGGCCCCCGAAAGCTTACCAATTAAGATGGCACACAAATTACATATCATTCTACCCAAGTGGAGTCCAAATTCAAGTGAATAAGAGCAATATTGCCTACAAAATGTTGCTCTAATTTGTCAAAGCGGCCAGAGGGTAAATGTTCTAGGCAGCTTAACTATCTGAAAAGCAGCCCATCAACTCATTAAGAAAGTAAATGTATTTATTTTTATTAATTTAAAAGATCTTTAAGCTGTCTTATAGCCAAAGCTTTAACAGCAAAATAACAAAATAAATTAAAAATAACAATATAAACAACATTAAGAAAGCATGCCTTAATAAAAATGACACAATGAACATACAAATG